TCTTTTGCTTTAATCCTATTTTTCCTCAATCCTCGTTTCTATTTAGAGCAAATCGATCCTAACCGAGCAAACTGCTGCACCCACTTGAAGCCCCATTTAAATCAATGGGGCTCTGCCTGGGAGCAGCAGAATGCCTACATAGATCAGAATGCATAACTGTGACCTTAGATTGTTTTTAAGGTTCAGTCCCTTTGCTATGTCCTTGAAGAGCAGAGAGCCTTCTGCCCCCTCCTGAGAAGAGCACTTGGGGGATAAGGTGCCACCAGACTCCTTGTTGTTTTTAAAGAAAACACCAGATTCCATTGTAAATTTCTATTCCCAACTGGGACACCTATAACCCCCCAAATTTTTGGTTAGCCACTCAGATCAAAAGGGGTTACACTACACTGTTTTGCCCGTGTCAAAAAACAAAAACAAAAACAAACAAACCAACCCAAAAACCTTACAGTCATTTTCATGAGAAGCTCTAGCACTTCTATGCTTTGGAACAAGGGCTTGACATTTCAGGAAGGGGTCGGGAGTGATCTGAAGAAGTGTTTTTTTACCCACAAAAGCTTATACCCAAATAAATCTGTTAGTCTTTAAGGTGCCACCGGACTCCTTGTTGTTTTTGTGGATACAGACTAACATGGCTACCCCAATACTTGAGTGTTGCTCTGGTGTCAGGGATGTGCTTTTTGCTCTCTCTCTGTGAAGACTCGTTCAAATTTGGCCAAGTTATAGGCCTCTGAAATATCCCAGTTTGTACATGGTCAGTAAAAATTTGTTAGAGTTTGGCAGCTAAAGTGATCATCTGTGCTGATTATGCTCCAAAGTCCAGCCTAGGCCTGCACAAGGCTAAACAGGACTTTCCCTGCAATTGCTTCTCCCAGCTGCTGGGGATGAGGTATCAGAACTGAGAGCAGGACTCCTGTGGAAAAAACCCAATACACCTCTACCCCGATATAACGCTGTCCTTGGGAGCCAAAAAATCTTACCGTGTTATAGGTGAAACCGCGTTATATCGAACTTGCTTTGATCCGCCGGAGTGCGCAGCCCCGCCCCCCTGGAGCACTGCTTTACTGTGTTATATTCGAATTTGTGGTATATCAGGTCGCGTTATATCGGGGTAGAAGTGTATGTGATCATTTAATTAAAGATTGTGTCATAATGCATACGCACAAGAGAGCTGAATTAAAGTTGCACATGCAGCCTTAATTCTGACATTTCCTAACTAATGAGTGCCTGATTTTGCAACCTCAACATTTTTAGCAAAGATTTGTGGATGTGTAATATTTGATATAGAGAAAAAATAACTGGTAAAAAAGGAATTAAAAGAAATATAAGCCTTGTCTCTTTAACAGGCAGGCAGTGAGCTATTTTCAAGTTAACATCTTTGGTCAGGGATGGGAAACATTTGAAAAGAGGTTAATTAGCATCCCCAGGGATTTCCTCCAACACCAGACAACCAATTGGACAGTGAATGGATGCCAATGTGGGCTGAAAGTCTGCATACAGCTTCAGAGAAACATCTGGAGAAATCTATGTAACTGGAGGAAAAGCTGGAACCTAATCTGTTTACCCAATGGCAATTATCATAATAGAGAGAGACTTTAAAGCATTCTGTGGACATTTCATGAAAGAAACAATTGTCATCTTCCCTTGAAGGGGACACCTACGTAAATTTCTTTGCTTGAATGCCTGTGATTATGTTGAACAGGTTTACACTTTGAAGATCAAAAGGATCACAGCCCAACATAAGGGTGGGGTGAGGGGGAGGGATCCAAGACACTTGATATGTGGTGGTGGGAGACAGGGGAAAGTAGCAGATGACAGTTTAGCTAGAGGGCAGGGGCATCTCACTGGCAGGTTATCCAAGAAAGGGGACATAGAAGAAAGGGACAGGCTGGCTAGAATTTATTTGGTCTTTATAAATGCTTCTCTACTGTAATGACATGAACTGTACCAACATCAGTTTATTTTTTGCCAGCTGTAGGACTAAATATGCTATGCAGCCCATTTCTTTTGCTTTAATCCTATTTTTCCTCAATCCTCGTTTCTATTTAGAGCAAATCGATCCTAACCGAGCAAACTGCTGCACCCACTTGAAGCCCCATTTAAATCAATGGGGCTCTGCCTGGGAGCAGCAGAATGCCTACATAGATCAGAATGCATAACTGTGACCTTAGATTGTTTTTAAGGTTCAGTCCCTTTGCTATGTCCTTGAAGAGCAGAGAGCCTTCTGCCCCCTCCTGAGAAGAGCACTTGGGGATACCTGTTATACTGAGCCAAGGCAACCCTCTAAGTGCTATTCAGTAGGAGCACAGGGAAAAGGGAACCAAAAGGTTATATACAGTACAAAGTACACCAGCACATTTCTAGTGCCTGCATGCAGTAAGTATGACTAATGCAATTAAGACTGTAGTCCGCTATGCAAAGAATTATTTTTGTATGTAGCATTTTTATCTCATCTTTGCTGAGCTTGCAGTTCAGTGCCTACAATGAACTGTGTATGCAACACATTGCCAGGGAAAAAAGCAGGAACTGACAGTGGGCACAGAACAGTGAATGCAGTTTATCCCTGGTGCAAAACCGTGCCCACAAAATCAGACCCTTGCTCAGGCCTCAATCTTTTAAGGTGCTGAGCACCCAGCCCTCCATCTAGCAGAGCACCTGGTTAACTCCAAGCAGGCCCATTAATTTCAGGGTTAAGCAGCTGCTTAAGTGATTTGCTGGATGAGAGCCACAGTGGTCTGACCTTGCAACCCTGATCCCTTAATGCCTGTAGAGCGATGGGGACATGTCAAGGGCTAATATCAGCCTGGCAAAAACTCTCCCTCAATGCATGTCAGTTTTACCTTTTCTTTTGCCAGGGGGTGCTAGGGCAGGCATTCCCCATCACACACAGGGGCCCCGGGCAATGTCCCGCCTGCCCCAGGGCACACAGGGACCGCAGCCGCGCAGGCGCTTGACCCCCTTTCTCAGCCCCGCCGCCTCCGCCCTCGCCAGTAGGTGGCAGCCGCACCCTGTTCCCCGCCCGCGGCCCCTCCCCGCGCCCCGGCGGCTGCTGACCCACATTCCAGCAGCGCCGCCTGTTCCCGGTGCAGCCGAACCAGCGGCTCATTGCGGCAGCTGCCGGCGGGGAGGCTGGCGAGCGGCGGAGGCTCTGCGGCGCTATGGGACCGTAGCACTCGCCGCCGGCAGGAGAGAGGTGAGGGAGCCGCACGGGCGCCTTGTAATCCCCCCTCCCCCTGCACGCGGCCGCGCTGCCCTAGACGGAGCCCGGCAGCAGGGTGCCCTGCCAGACAGACCCAGCAACAGTGTGTGTACCCCCCCCATCCCCCGCGCATTTTGCATTTCTTCCCGCTTATGGTTGTGCAGCCTCCCGGGCGTGGTGCATTGTGTATCCTGTAGCCTGGTAGCAGCCGCCTCCCGCTCTTTGCTCTCAGCAGCAAGCTCCGTGCAGGTCGCCTAGCGACGGTGTATCTGATCCTGGAGAGGCGCGAGCTCTGGGGGCGCAGAGGGTGCGGGGTCTCGCCTGGCAGCGCCCGGGTGCCATCCGCATCGCAGCCAGATGGGCAGCGGCTTCCCTGCCTGCTCCATGGGCCGGGAATGGGGGGATGCTGCGGTGATCGCTGTAGGCTTGTGGCAGGGCTGTAAACAGTAGCGTGTGGAGCAGTTTCTTTGAGCTTATGATTATCCGATGACTGTAGTTTACAGCCTCCCTTCGTGCCAGGACAGCTACCCCATATCGCCTTTCCTAGGTCACTGTCAGGAGAGGGAGTAGCCAGCGAAGGTAAGTGCTGGAGAAAAGAGACTTTTATTTTTATCCTTGGCAGAATGCTCTACATTTTTATAGCGACCGTGTCTAGCCCAGTGACACACATTCGTAATCCTCCAGAACTGGCATAAACGTCTTCTTTTCTTTTGGAATTTAGCTGAGTAACTGTCATTAAAATCATTGGAGTTAAAGTTTGTCCCTTTACGTTTTGGACTTTTGGATTTCAGTGGGATTTTATGTGGTAGAGAAATTAGGTTGCTTCTTGCACTTAAGCAGGCAAACAAAAAATCCTAAAGCACTGAGAGGGACTATAGCAAATTCTGGGCAGATATCCAGGTGCCTTGCTCTGCAGCTCTGCAGTGTTTGTGTCATGCAGATGGTTTGACAACCATCCTAATACAAGTGGAGTTGCCAATATGGAGGAAAGCAGAGAGAAACACCTGAGGCCAGATTTGATCTCAGTTGCACCATTGTGAATAACTCCACTGAAGTCAATGGAATTATACTGCTATGAGATCAGAATCAGGCCCCCTGGGGTGCTTATCTTATGCAAACCCCCATTCATTGTAAAGTTTGCTCTGGAATCAACATAATTGTAATCTTCAAGTTTATATCCCCACCAACCTCTACCCTTTTCCTTGCCCCCTCCTGCCTTTTTTAAAACAAGTATTGGAGGAAAGAGGCCACAGTGTATTCAATAATTGATGAGAAGTACTGTTACTGTGGAGTCCCAGCAGCTCAACATTCAGATGATAAACAGTTCTGGTGACAAAGGCATTTGAAACAAAGGAGCCATTTTAGAAAACGCTTGAGAGAAATTATTTATCTCCATGCTTTTGTAGTTGTAAACCCAGAGATCACTTTTAAATTGGGGATACCGTTTTGGAGAGCAGAAAACTGAAGTAACATAGAAATAAAATAGAGGAAATAAAGTTAAATTTCCTTTCTCTACAGCATATATTTCCCAGATGCACTGCTGCTGGCTTATTGTCATCTCCTGTTTCAAACATCTGGTTACACAGTGAAAGAACTATTTTGTGTACTTGTCCAGCCATGAATAGTTGAAATGGTTCAATGTACATGTGCTGCTCATCTTGCTTAATTGAGCACTGATGCCTACTTGTAGTAATTTCTGTGAGGATGTATTGCATGCTTTTCATCCTGTTACATGGTGTTAAATAAATTAGATCTTAGGAGCAGTGATAACAGTAGACCATAGCATCTTTCTGTGGTTACCTTTAAAAATATCTTTGGGATAGTCACATTTCTAGGCCAAGCATGGAGAATCCAGATGCAATGCCACATATTTTAATTTAATGTCTTAGTTTTTAGAGTTGGTGTAATATTTCAGTGAAAACTGTTGCTAGAAATGATATGTGTGGTTGTCAACTTCATCTTTTGGAATAGATTATTTATTGCCTGTCTAGCTTCTTGCCTGAAACTGATAGGCATTGTTTTTCAGAGAAGTTGTATTTCACATTAAGACAAATACCCATTTGTAGAAAAAACTTTGGGAAACCGTTGAATATGAATGAATTTTACACTGCTAACTTTCCTGCTAGCTTTGTTGCATTTCAGGGAATAGGTCTGTATATAAAGTTATCATGTCAGCAATGTAGAAAGTGCCTCTTAACCCTTTGTGAGTCAGAGCCCACAGGACAGGTATTGCACAAAATTTCAATAGATAGATACTGTCTTTAGTTCTATGTAGCAAAGAATTTTGTTAAGTGATAAAATATCTTTTTCTATTGTCCTTGCCACAGAATCGTAACCTGATGAGACTAGTACTGCTAACAGCCAGAATGCTAAGCCATACTTCAGCTATGGCACTTCAAGGCTATGCTGCACTAGCTTTTCTTTTCTTTTAAAATTCCCATTGTTGCTAGCAGGTGTAGTGGGAGCACTAAGGTACACAAGGTTCCAGGTGGTTGCTGGCAAATTAAGCATTTTGTATTCTAAACCTGCTCGGAGTAGGTTTGTACTCAAAGCTAAACTGTGTGATCAGCACTGGTCCAGCTGCAATCATTATTGGCACTGATCCTGCTTTATTATATAGAGGAGGTATAAGATGCACAAAACCAGACCCAGGAGAGCTTTATTTGCTCCATGGACCACTTGCAGCACTAGCAGAAAATTGCAAAAAGAAAAATCTGGGCTGGCTGGAGAGCAAGACCTACTGGTTCTAAATGCCCACTGGGTCATTGGGAGAGTTGGTCTCTGTACCATTCATGAATGTCTGCTAAGCCTCATTGAGAAGAAGATTTGTCTGATGCTCCTCAGTAGTCTTTGTTGCTTGATGGTATAGATCATCATAAGACCACAAGCCCAGGGAGAGCAGAACATTTTCAGGAGTTTATGGAAGGAAGGAGAGTCCTAATCCAGATGGGGTGAAAGGGCTTGCTAGAGTGCTGGGAAGGAAACCAGGTGATTTGGGGAGATCCAAAATGGGGAGTGAATAAAATGAAGGTGGATGATTGGATTTAGGTAAAATAAGATGGAGAGTGGGGCTAACTGATGCTGGTGAGGGTAACACTAAGAGTTGTAGGTTGATGAGGGTCTGAGAAGAAAGTTTGTAGTGTAGGGAGGTGATGAGAAGGAGCTGAAAGGTTCAAAAGATGGTTTGCAGACTTGATGTATGAAGAGAGGGAAATTGTGACTTAGGTGCTTGGAGGAGTGGGACTGTCTGGAAGGGGGCCTAGAAGGTACAGGGGTGCTGGAATCATGGTTCTGCACCCAAAATGAATTGCACTTGTAGTCTTATAGCTATGATCTCCCTTCCTCCAAGTGCTACAGTACTTACAAAGTGCTTTACTGTTATTGGTTGATCCTCACAACAGCCTTGTGAGGTAGGTAATTGTAATTATTATTATCCGTCAGCTATAGCTGGTGAGACTGAGGTGCAGAGATTAAATGACTTCCCCAAGGCTGCAGAGCAAATCCTGAATTCTAATCCTGCTTCTTGCATGGAACTCCTGGCTCATAGCCCAGACCACAATCCCTTCAATGATGCTGGCTCTTCATTAATTCATTGTTCATTCACCATTAATGCTTTTATGGAGGTGATTGCGGAAGGAAGACGTCAACTGGGGAAACATAGCATGCCTGTGAAATTTAAACCTAACACACATAGGATCCAGATCATTCTATGTTCAGGATGGTGTTCTGCTGGTGCATGAACCAGGAACAGCAGAGCAGCATCATGAGCATAGAATGACCTGGATCCTATATGTGTTCTTTTCCTTCTCTAAACTGAATGACTTCAGACACAGACACATACTATTGGCTGTAATTAGAGACTTGTTTACGTGTATTATGTAAGAGGTAAACGGTATCACTAGTGCAGTTCCTTTTTATTTAGGTTTAAATTTCACAGGCATGCTATGTTTTCCCCAGTTGACGTCTTCCTTCCGTCCATTATAGCTGACGGATAATAATAATTACAATTACCTAGGAACAGGTTGCTTTGTGAGCCATTTCCAAAATACAAAGACATTAATGGAAGTCTTTGCATTGACTTCAGTGGACTTGGTATCTGTTACCTGCATAAACAAAAGCATGCAAATATGATGGAAAAAGAAAAATTATGGGATCTGTGCTTCTCACCCTCCTCTACAGTGTTTCTGGTCATGAGAGTACATCCATCTGTAGTGTGGAAACTTCTATGTCAACTGTCCTTTATGATCACAGTGCCAACAAGGACGAGTGGCACATGCTAAGAATGGAAACACTTTGGGTACAAACCAGTGCCTATAGTTCTTGGAAGTTCTTCTCAGTTTTCACGACTCTGACATGGCGATCATCATACTAAACAGGTCTGTTTTTCCCCCAAACTTACCTTGACAAAACTACAGCCCTGATGATAACTGACATTGTTCAGTTGCCCTGTTTCCTGCAGTTATCAATAGCATTGGTGACCTGGACGTGTGCAATGAAACAGGTTCTGGTTCTTTGGAACATAACTGAGAGCATTATTTCTTTGGGCAGATTTTTCCCCATTGTTAATTTCTTGGGATTTGATAGTCCCCAGCACAGACAACAGCGAGAAGATGTGAGGAGAGCTGGTGTGGGGGAGGGAGTGAGGAGAACTCTCATTGCACCAGCCAAAGAGGAGAGGGGAGCACAGCTTGCCCAAGCCAGGGAGGAGAAGGGGAGCTCTCCCTTGCTTCTAGCAGGAGATATGGAGTTGTGCTCACCCCCATATCCTTTAAACTCTGGGCTTGAGCTAAAAAGGGAACAGTGACCTCACAACAAGCCTCCCACACACCCACTGTGTATGGAAGCCATTCCGCAAAAACTCCAGGGGCCTTTGTGAGGTGACCATGTTTCTCCTTCCACCCGTTGCCTGTCTTATCTGTGTAGATTCCGGGTTCTTGGGGGCAAGAACTATCACTCTGTGTTTGTACCGCGCCCGGCATTGGGTAAAGATAAAATGAAAAACCTTATTCAGCTTTGTTTGTATTGTGCAGAAGGGGAAATGTAGCACTGAAACATTCATTGTGTTACATACAGATTGCATGGCACAGCTATTGCTGCTTCCTATGAAAAAGAGAGAGAGAAAAAAATCACAGTATGCAGAATGAAACTGAAACTTACAAACTAAGAGACATCTAATCATTTCTGTGGGGGAAATCCAAGTGAAAGGGAGGGGATTTTGTGAATTTCATTTTGCAGAGTTTCCTCACCACAAGAGCAACTGATGGAACATAGCTCATGTCATGTACATTATCACATAAGCGATTGTAAAACTTCGTGGGGTGATCAGGCTGTGACAAAATGGGGATTGTCCCTTACGTTGTATGTGAGCCTATGTGAATTTTACCGTTTTGCATGAATACAGTGTGTGCCTCAGTTTCCCTGTGTTAATTTCCCTGCACAAATATTTCGGTGGTGAGAATAGGGGTGTGTGACTTTGGCTGAGACCTCTGGGGCAGGTGAGGCTGCACCAGCTGTCTGCAAGTATACTATGACCGGTGCCATTTGTAACTTGAGACTCAATAGGGGAATGCAACCAGGTGACTCTTTGCCCCAGGAAGCGAGACAAAGAGAAGGAGGAAGAGCAACTGGGGTGTCTGAGGTCGGGTCGTTGGAAGCTGGCCGTCTGCTGTGGGGGACTGGAAGGGAGGGAGTCCAGGGTGTCTGGCCCAAGGCTCCCGAAGATGGAGTTGGCTGAAAGTAATTGATTTCTGTGATAGCAGGCTCTGTTCTACGCATTGTTCCTCTCAACTAATAAACCCTTCTGTTCTACATGCTGGCTGGGAGTCACTGCTGACTGCAGGAGTTGGGGTGCAGGTCCCTCTGGCTTCCCCAGGAGCCAAGCCCGGGCGGACTTGGTGCAGGAAGCACACTGTGTGGAAGGGGATGCTGAATGCTCCAAGATCAGAGCCAGGAAGGTCAAAGCTGTGTAAGTTTCTTGCCCTGGAGGTGTATGCTCAGAGAGAGGAGGCATGCTACACCAGAGTCCTGACTGGTTTCGTATGGAGTAGTTCCAGAGCACCGGCCCGGTGACTCCATGACACAAGCCCAGATCACTTCCCCTACAGATATTTGTGATGTGTTAGCCTCTCTTTCACAAGTGACGTTGGTGCTCATAAGAAACTCTACCCTCCTATTCTTGTGATGTCTGGAACTTCTACATCGGAGTTACTATGTTCTATGGAGAAATTATTTGGTTTGTATACACAGTCCAAGAGGACACATTCCATAATATGACAAAGATGCAGGATCACAGCCGTCATTCGCTACAATGCAACCGTAAGATCTTTCTCCTGCCAAGGTTATCGCTATCAGCTTCAGCACATAGGTCACAATCTCTAAGATGGCATAAATTTTTTGGAGACTTGGGCTTCTGTGACTGCTCCCTTTTTTTCCTTTTCAATAAAAAAAGACAATGAAACTAATGTTGAAAATACAACTATGTAAAGTGATAAAAAGATGGAGTTTGAAAATTTTGCCCAGAACCTACCTATCTGGTGGCTGAAAATATCTTCACCTACATATCCTTTGCAGTATAATGGTTGTCTTTGTATACAATTGGATTTTGAGTAATATAATGGTAATGTTGTCAATCAACTTTCTATTTAATGAACTTTTTTAAAAAGTCATTTACTGCTGATTGTTTCTTGCTTTAATTATAGCTTCTTACTCTTCCTGATTTTACTCCACTTCTTCTTTCCTTCAGTAAATCATGTTGTGTATCTTGTATCTCCCTTTAATCACTTACAGCATTCTCTTCCCCCTGCCATATTGTGTTCTTTGCCTCCTTCCTCACTCTTATTTACGAAAAATCTATTTGTCAATACTATATTCCCACCCCACCCCCAACCACCACCAACTCTCACATGTAGCTTGGAAATTTTACCAGACACTTAACAGCATAAGAGGGGTGTGGGAGTGGGAATAGTCATTGCCCAGAGATAATACCCTGATGAGAAACAGCCCTTTCTTTCCACATACCCCTTTCCCAGTTGTTGGGAAAAGGGATGATGCGTGATTTCCTACCAGGGTGCTGTTCCTTGACGCTGCTTGATGACTTTGTATTTCATATCAGTCTCTGCCTGTTAGTTGACTGATAGATTGGAATCTCTTTCTTGGTCTCCAAAACCTTCTTTTTTCTGCAGTGGAGACAAAGTATTCTGTCTCTGCCGTTAGCCCCGCTCAAGCCCTGCTGAGGCCTCAGTTGCCTGGCTGCTGTGAGGGTGGGCTGTTTCTGCTACTCTCTGTAAATGTTCCCATCTCAGCTCACAGCTTCCTTGTTCAGGTTTTCTTCTTCCATCACTAGCTTCATTGCCTGCCTCTGGTGCTGCTCAGAGCGATCTCAAACAGCAGAAGAGTGAAATTGACCTAATTCGCATCAGTTAGTGGTTAGTCAGAGGGTTATGAATAGGGACCGTGAAAACTGACAAGACTATGGTGACTGCTGCAGGTTGGGGAAATGATCAGGAGCCGCAGAAGCACTGAGCCTGTTTGCAACCTTGGGAAGTTGCCCCTGAATCAGTTTATAACCGGTTCACATTTGGCATGTTTGCTTTACAATCTACAAACTTTTAAAATCAAATTAAAGCTTACTGGCAGCAGAAGTTGAAAGCACTTGCTTGGGAAAACTTCCTACTCACCATAGGCATATAGATCTCTTTCAAACCCTGTTAAAACACATAGAGCTGGCTCTACACTGTAATCCATAAAATGTGCTTTGCTGTGCATTGTGCAGACAGTCAGGGCTCCCAGCAAGGTCACATACGTACACACAGAATTGTTCTGGTTTCCTCAGCATGCAGAACAGTTCGTTGAGCATCAAGTAGGAGCCAAATCAATAGGCCATAGAATTTCCTAAATAACTGTTTCTCGTTTCTGAGTCAGCTCAACTGCAGACTCATCAGGAGAAGTTAATTGTATTGCTCATTAGCTGTGTCTGGGGTCCTGCAATCCACAGAGGGATTGTAATAAATAGTTAGCACTTATATAACACTTTCCATCAGAGGATCTCCATGCTTCACAAAAATAGCGCTCCTCTGTGCCATCCTTCTGCTGAACTGTTGTATACTGGCTCACTTTACTGGAGTAAGGTATATCCTGGGTCCTGCTGCAGTAGTTTGACTCCATGAAATGTTAACACAAGGATAGTTTTCTCTCACACACCCCTTTTCAGCTTGTCTGCCTCTGTAGCATCAGGGTAAAGTTGTCACTACCACAAAAGCCGTCTGGATGCAATGGTAGGAGAGCTTTTCACCATAGGAAGGATTTCTGCTCAATCAATATAAATCATGTTGGAGTTTCCCTGAATTTCTAGATAGTACTGCTGCATCGTCTTCCTTTTGCCTCAAAGGGCTGTCCTGCATTGTCCGGTTGCATCTCTTTGGTAAGACTTAGACGTTCATGTCAATTGTTACCCAAAATCAGTGTGAAGGCAATTAAAGTGCTTATTGACTGGCAACTTGTTCAGCATTGTGCTAATCGAATGGTTAATTTAATCCTGTTTGCTCCAAGCAAACCTCACAGAAGATACTAGTAAAAACTTTTCCTTTGTATAATGCCACTGAATTCAACTGAGTTACACCAGGGATGCATTTGGCCCTTTGACCCATGGTTATCAGAAGGATGCCAATGTTTGTCATCCCCATAAACTGTTGTATACTAGGAATTGTCAAAGCTCTCAGGAAACCCTAGAATTTGGTCGCTTTTAGTTTGAGAACCACTGCACTAACATCATTAGGTTTCAGTTATGTAACTATCTAAGGTGCTTGCATTGCCCCATTGCCATTGTATCTGAATGCCTCACAATCTCTAACATATTTATCCTTGCAACTCCCTGTGAGGCAGGGAAGTGCTGTTATTCCCATTTTACAGATGGGTAATGGAGACCTGGAGAGATGAAGTGACTTGCCCAGGGTGTCAAAGGATGTTTGTGGCAGAACAAAAATTGAACGCAGGTCTCCCCAACCTAGGCTAGCACTCTAACCAATGGACAACCCTTCCTCATAAACACTGTTGAGGTGAACGAGGGGCATCACACCTTTTACAGATATTGCTCCAGACTGTCTGCAGACAGAGGGCTTGCCTGCACTTAAAATACTACAGCAGCAGAGATGCGCAGCATTTCAGTGTAGATACTACTTACGCCAATGGGAGGAGGGGGAGTTCTCCCGTTGGCGTAGGTAATCCACTTCCCTGAGAAGCAGTAGCTATGTTGATGGAAGAATTTTTCCATTGACCTAGAACTGTCTACATGGGGACTTAGGTCAGCTTAACTATGCCATTCAGGGAGGTGTGGATTTTTCACACCCCTGACTGATGCCTTTAAACTGACTAATTTGCT